GTAAGCACCAGATTGGTAGCTCGTTCAGCAGAGTAAACGCTATACATGGTGGCTCACTTATACTGATAAGTAATCAGCTTAAATTCAAAGATCGCAAAGATATAGTTAGTTACTCTGTTGAGCGTACTGTTGAAATAGCCTGTGTGGAATTGGAGCGGTTTATTGTATTAAGCGTGTATAGACCACCTTCAGGTTTGTATGACTGTTTTGAAACAGTAATGGATGAAGTATTAAGTAAACTTACAAATTCAAAGAAATCCATCATTACATGTGGTGATTTTAATATAAATTTATTAGAAAAATGTAGTTTAAGCACAAAAATTGTAAGTTTATTTTCTTCATACAACCTTGCGAATTTGTTTCTGGAGCCAACTAGGATAACACCCACTAGTGCCACTTGCCTGGACAATATTTATACCGACATTGTGCCAGTTAACAAAGAAATAATTTCAGTACTTGATTCCGATCATTGTGGTCAGTTAATTTCTTTAACAAATGAAATAAATATAGTGTCAAAACAATTTATCACAGTTAATCCGAAGACTAAAAGACGCATTGAATTTTTCAAAGCTAAACTCAGCAACAAATTGCCTTTGTTGTTGAATTATAAGAATTCTAATACTTTATATGATAAGTTTTTTAAAATGTACCTAACAGAGTTTAAGTCTACTTTTACAGATAAAACTATTCCAGCTAATAGCAATGTGTCTTTTGGTGATTGGGCAACCACTGGTATCTATAAGAGTAGAAATCGCCTCTATGAGCTCTATAATGAGCGGACATATATTAATACTGTTGAATTCAGTGAATATGTAAAAAACTATTCTAAATTATTTAAAAAAGTTTGCTCTATTGCAAAATCTCTATTCTTAAGCTCTAAGATAAAGAACAGTACCAATGTTATCAAAGACACTTGGAACATTATCAACAGTGAGGCAGGAAGGTCTAAAAAAGAATTAGTCAACATAGTCTAGTAATTGATAATAAGTTAATAAAAGCGGATGTAGAAATTGCAACTGCTTTTGAACATTTCTTTTCCGACATTCCTGTATCCACTACAAAGTCACTGAATTCATCTCCCACTGTTGCAGAGTCTTTACTCAAAGAACATGTTGTAGCTTGCGATTCAGGGTTTTCCTTCAAACACATAGATAACAAAGATATTGTTAAAATCTTTAATACTTTGAATATCAAAAAGACTGCAGATCTATGGGGTAATTCTGTGTACATTACAAGCTCTGTAATAACTATTGTAGCACCTGTATTGGCTCAAATCTTTAATAACTGTATTGACTGTGGTGTGTTTCCTGATCTTATGAAATGTAGTAAAATAATTCCATTATTTAAATCAGGTAGTACTTCTGACCCCACTAACTTTAGACCTATTTCAGTACTACCTACGTTCAGTAAAATTTTTGAAAAAATCATTTTAGATCAAATGCAAAGATTTTTTAATAGAAATAAATTATTACATGCGAAGCAGTTCGGATTTACAAGGGGTCGTTCAACAACTGATGCCGGTGTTGAACTTCTTAATCATATTTACGACGCATGGGAGGACTCAAGCGACGCTTTGGGAATATTTTGTGATTTATCCAAGGCGTTCGATTGTGTGCTTCATGATACACTGATCAGGAAGCTTTCCCATTACGGAATTAGAGGTGCATCTCTGGACCTTCTTACCTCATACCTGAGTAATAGGGTTCAGAGAGTCGAAGTAAACGGAATGGTTTCTGCCGGGTCTGTTGTGAAGATGGGTGTTCCGCAGGGTTCTATTCTCGGCCCGTTTTTATTTCTTATCTATATTAATGACTTGCCTTACCTTGTAAGGGATAAACACGAGATAGTGCTGTTTGCTGATGATACCTCACTATTATTCAAACTCAGACGACGACAATCATTAATTGACAATGTAAACAGTGCTCTCTCAGAAATAGTTCACTGGTTTGGTGTGAATAACTTATTACTAAACGAAACTAAAACTAAATGTATTAAATTCACAATACCAAATGTTAAACAGATAAAAACCAGTGTGCTTGTCAAGGGCGAGGAGTTGAGTCCTGTAGATACAACTGTCTTTTTAGGTATAACCCTGGACGCTAAGCTCCAGTGGGGCCCACATATAGATGGCTTGTCGAAGAAGCTCAGTTCTGCAGCATATGCCGTTAAAAAAATTAGAAATTTAACAGATATAGATACAGCGCGGTTAGTTTATTTTGGTTATTTCCACAGCATCATGTCATACGGTATTTTGTTGTGGGGGAATGCTGCTGACATCCAGTCTATTTTTGTTCTGCAGAAAAGGGCTATTCGATCAATCTATAATCTTAGTCCGAGGCATTCGCTCAGAGAATTATTTAAGGAATCTAAAATAATGACAGTTGCCTCTCAATATATTTATGAAAATGTAATTCACGCTCATAAAAACAAAAGCTTATTTAAGAAATATAGTGATATACATAATATCAACACGAGGGGGAAAAACAAATATGTTGTGCCTGCCTCCAGGCTTCAGAAAATAAGTAGTTCGTTTAGGTGTCAATGTATACGCTTTTACAATAAAATTCCTAGCGATATTCAAAATTTGAGCCTCAATAAATTTAAAAGTGTAATAAAGGCTAAACTTTGCTGTAAAGCATTTTATAAAATAAAAGACTACTTAGAGGATAGTCAGGCTTGGGAATGAGCCGTTGTAATGTCTGCACAGGTCATGTTGACATGTTTGTAACATAAGTTACACTTTTATATACAATTTGACATTACGTTTATTTTTTTTTATACAATGACATGATCACCTAATGTGACATTTTTATTTTTTATTTGACATTTTTTTTTTATTTATTTGTTGACATTTTTATTATTTTATATTATTGTTAGTGTAAGGACCGTGTGAGACTTGTCGTGCTTTTTTATCACCAGTCATCTGCGTTCTGACAGTTTGAGTACTTGCGCGACCCACCCAAATGTTCTTTTGATCGGTATTGTTCGTCGGACAACTCAACAGCACTAGCTATATGGTTGCAAACTGACACTTGCGTGCCTGTCTTCAGAACGGGTCCACTTAAACTGGTGTGGTTCTTTCCTCAAAAGACCACTACAGAATGAACTTGCACGGTTCTCTCACATTATGTTATTTTATATTGTCTGGACTTGAAAAGAGACTGACCTCTGAGTTTGTTTCGGCATTTCTTCTCAGAGTAGTCAGATAGGAAATGCCGGCTTCATCTAGTTTTTCACATACCTATAATTTGACGTGTAAAAATGCCGTTTTAAGGCCTATTTGCAAAAATAAATTCATTGTTTCATTGTTTCATTGTTTCATTGTTTACCCCAATCCGTTCCCTTTCCCAAAATCTCCAAATCCCTAATCCAAAAAAGGACAACCCACTCGTAACTGCTTCGCCGTTGCCATGGGTGTCCATGGGCGACGCTGATTGCTTACCATCAGGATCAGGTAATCCGCTTGCTCGTTTGCCAAACTATCACATAAAAAAGTAATAACAGAAATCTAGTAAAACGTAATCAAGAAGTGCTACAGCTGAATAATAAGCTTTGGATACTATTGGAAGTTAGGGTCATTAACCTTTGGATTTTAATAATAATCGCATAGAATTTGGATATGACGGAGGCATTTCCATTGATATATAATAAATGTTGCTATAAAAAGTATAAAGAGACTTTTGAATTGTATGTACATATTGTAAGTACCTTGTAAATATGTTTGATAAAATAATTTATTGTTGTTCAGAAATAACTCATGACCTGTTTTGTTATCAGGCGACTACATTAATATTGACTGCATGGATTTCACGACCCGTTACTCTAACGATGAAACAGGATCGTGTGCTTTTGGTTTGAAAGTGGACTCACAGAATGAACAGAACAACTGTCTACTCGATGCACATGACGGTGATTAATTTAAATTTCTATTCAGATTTAAAATTCTTTCTCGTCATGAATTTTACAAGACAAAGGTTGATGTCGTTATATTTTTTGCCAACTTATGACGATAAGTTTACACGCGGACCTTCCCTGAAAATCCCCACATATCAAATTTCTGCGAAATCGTTGGGGCCGTTTTCGAGATCACAAGCTTTTTTAAGCAATCAGCGCCATCTGCCGGGCTGATTTGTGAATCTAAACCGTCCAGAGCGCCACTCAAACGCATACAGAAAATTAAATAAAAAATGGAATTTGGAGAGTCATGCTTCGGCATGAATGGGTCGGCTCAACCGGAGTGATACAACGACTTCGCATAAAACTGGCGTGAAACAACCACAGCGTTGTGTTTTGCCATGTGTTAATAAGGTATGTAAGGTCACCGGAGGTCCAATCCTTTCCTTCCCCCAATACTCAGATCTCCACATCCTTAATACCCAAAAGGTCCGCAACGCACTCGTAACTCCTCTGCTGTTGCGGGAGTCCATGAGCTGCGCATTGCTTACCATCAGGTAATCCGTCTGCTCTTTTGCCGACGCTATCACATAAAATAATAAATAAATGAGTTTTTTAGTGTTAAGGAATTAAAAATATTTAATATAAACTATAATAAAGATTAATTTATTTTTATCGATAGTTTTGTTTTATTTATCGTTTTTATTTATTTGGAATTACTACTGGCAATTTAAGGGATTAAAAACCATCACCTTTATAAAAAGCCCACCACCCCGTTGGGCGTTTTTATGATCGATCGAAGTTTCGGTAGTTTTTGGTTCTAAAATGATATCATGATTTATTGATTTTGTAATTTAAATTTTGCTTCAAAAAAGCGTTATATCAAACCAAAGACTTATTAAAAGTGATGAAAATTTGATGTTATAATACTCATACGTCATATTAATACGTTTATTCCGTTTCAATAAAATTAGTTTTGAGAGATACATTTTATGGGGTGATGTAACGGTGGAGGCTTATACCTAGGTATTGCTTTTATACTTATCTTATCTACGTCCCTTGGGTACATAAGCTCCTACACTGTGACAGCTTCACAAATAATGTTTCTGAGGGCTCAGACAGTCTAGGACTGCGGACCGAGTCACACGTGCGTGCGGAGCGAATATTTGTGGTGTTTCACACATTTCTACTGGACTGTTTGTGCTACAACGTTGGAATCGACGTGAGTATTCCAATTTTAAACATGGCATGGCTAATTTTATGAAGTTCATTCAGCGGTAGTTTTACTATTACATTTTATATTTAAATTAGTCTGCTGTATTGGCTATTCAAAACTTATCTTACTTAACTTATCAAAACATAACATTTTACTTTTTATTACTGAACCGAACTGTTATTGTTAGTCACCGTGCTAAAGTTTACTTGCCCTTGACCAATATTGTTGTTATTTGAATAACAATAGGTTAATGAACTTTAATGTGTAAACAAAAACAAGATACTGGACGACCGACAACATTATGTGATAACGTAATGATAGTATATACTTTGTCGTGTCTAGTTAGACGGAGTATTTTTCGTAGTGCCGATGCCGGCCGGCTGACCTTGAATGACGTACCTAAACACTGTTGACTAGCTACGAATCATGTGCGGTATGTGGGATTATGAAAGAAACCATTTATACTCGTAATACGGTTTTCATTTTCGTACAAAAACGTTGCCCCACTTTAGGATTTTCTTCTGTGTCGTTTACAAACATACAAATAAAGGACATGGCCAACTTTTGTATGGGCGTTTGCATAGTTATTGAATTCAATGTACATCAATGATTTTTGGTGTTTACATTCGTGAATATTATTAAATTAAATTGCAAAAAATAAAACACATGAAGAACTCGTAATAATAACAAACAAGACGAAAATAGTTTCACTAAACCTTTAGTCAGATTATTGGCCATAAGTGCACGAAATAAGATTTTGCTTTTAAAAACCATGGCGTTTTAATTATTTATTTATTTATTTATAAAATAAAACAAAAGAATATGTATAAAGAATAATTATTTATTTATTAAGGAGAACAAATAAAATAAAACTACGTAATAATTCACTTTTATATTTTTATTATAAAGTGTATTTTATTATGTTTGTGTATGGAATGTACGTTTCTTTAATATATATTCTGTATAATTAGGTAATAATATGGTAGTACTTTCCATTTAAAACAGGTGGTAATGGTGGTGGCTCTGGTGGGCTAACCACTTGAATATAAGGGGCTACTGCATTGTTGTCCGAACCCAATTCCTGCAAGTTTCGTGATAAGTCCTGCACTGTCTGTCTATTTGCCCGCATACAGCACACATGACAAACATAGTTGCTTCTTGAGGTCTGAAAATAAACCCCAGTTAGAATAAACACATGTTTTCAAGTTTTATGTTATTGTACAGTGAGAAGTATTATGTTACAACAGGCCTATTTTAAAGAAGTCTATGCAAACATGGAAAATACATAAAGATAGATATTACAATCACACATACCTACTTTTTTATAGATTAATATAGATAAATACAAGTACATATATAAAACAATGAATAAAAAACAAAATGCTTACCACATTAATAGTATTTTGTGATATTAGGCCAGCTAGCAATGGAGAGTCCATACTGACATTATGGTGTCTTATTTTTCGAGCCGATTTTCCACAACCAAGGCAAGCCATGTTATGCCGCAGTAGTCTCTCATGTTCACCAGCCTCAGTATTCAATGATAAAAGGGTGGTTGACAAATGAATGTCCCCAGAGGCAACTAAAAAAAAGATGCACTGTTTAAAATCGCATACCATGATAAAACATAAAAAAAACAGACTAAGTATTATACTATTCCGACTTCATACCTGGGTTTGAGCTGGTTAACCAACGTGAACGTTTTGTTTGATTGAGTATTATTAGCAATAGCAAGGTTAACAAAAACACGCTGTCAAAAGTGTCAAACACGTTCCGTTTCGTTTAAGTTTTTTTTTTTTGGTGAATTGGATAAAAATAAAACATAATATTATTATAATATGAGTATATTTTAAAATGCAACTAAAACCAATGAATACAGTTTCGTATGAATAAAATGTTCCTAGTGTAATGCATTTGTCGATCATATCACACGACTTCTACGAGAGTAGTTTAAGACACGTGGTTTGGAATTGAAACGTCTTTTTATTTATCTTTCTCTATGGGCTACTATGGCGAAACTTGACAAACGATAAGTTGATTTTGTTGCATTACTTTTACATTTTTTTAATAATAATTGTCAGGTCTGGAGAGGCTAAAAACTACGTAATAATTCATATTTCTATACTAACTTTTAAACTTTCGCGTTTCATCTTAAGAACATTATATTTACGCGGGTATTAACGCGGAAAATTATAATTTGAATACCTTGGTAGGCTTGACGTTTCGACCCGGTTGCACAGGTCGTGGTCACAAGCAGACTGAAGACGCGATGTCACAGCTCCCTGCATTCGGGTGATGAATCTTCATCTACCCCCTTATTTTCATTTTCTACCATATTAGGCCGTCTACACACTACGCTGATTATATCCACAGATGTGTTAACCGACTTTGAAGGAAAGCGAGGTTGTGTTTTGCGAAGCACTGGATTCCACGTCGACGACAATTTAAAGCCGTCCTCCCGATTGAAATTATTTGGGCATTTCTTTATTTCAACCGCTTCACGCACAAGTCTTGTATGGTAGTGGCGATCAGTGGAGAGAATTTGCGGTCGGTGGAATTCTACCCAGTGATTAGAACCAGCCTGGAGCAGGTGTTCTGCTATCGCTGATTTGTTGCTCTGTCGGTTTTTGACTGCGGCGATATGTTCTTTGAGCCTCTCAGCAATGGTCCGCTTCGTTTGCCCAATGTAGGAACTACCGCAGCTGCAGTTGATCTTATAAACACCTGGGCTTTGTAGCGGCAGTACATCCTTCGCCGTGCCTACCTTATCATGAAGTTTAGCCTCAGGTGTGTAGATCGTCGGGATCGAAAACTTTTTAAGGACGGATCCTATCTTGTCTGTCACACCCTTGATATAAGGCATGAAGGCAGGTTGTCTGCTCACGTTTGGATGTCTGGCTCTCTTCAGCGGTCGCAATAGTCGCCCATCCCCTACACTATATCCGTTCTTTTTAAGTACCTCCTGAACATGGTCTAGCTCTTGCCCCAGATGTTCAGGGTCACAGAGGTCATATGCTCTGTTTTTTAGTGATATCATCACGGATTGTAAGTGTCGGGGGTGGTGATGTGACTTTGCATGTAGGTACCGATCAGTGTGAGTTGGCTTTCGGTATACACAGTGCGATAAGGACCCATCTGATCTCGCGGTTATTTTAATGTCCAAGAATGACAACGACCTGCCCGTCTCCAGCTCATAAGTAAAACGCATTTTTGGGTGGATGCTGTTTAGGTGATTTACATATTGACGTACTTCTTGTTCACCTCCCTTGATAATGCTGAAAATGTCATCCACATACCTTTTCCAAAGCCTGATGGTATTTGGGCCGAGGCTCAATGCCTGTTTTTCAAAGTGTTCCATCCAAAGATTAGCTAACACAGGGGCCACTGGACTTCCCATGGCTACGCCATCGATTTGAAGGTAATGTTGGCCTTGAAAAAGGAAGTAATTTCCATCCAGGCAGTGTTTCAGCAAATCAATATAGTTGTGGGGCATGTCATTGTCACTAAGTACATCTTTGACAACATCCAGACACTCCTTAATTGGCACATTGGTAAATAACGACTCAACGTCAAAGCTCACCATGAGTTCATCAGGTTCCAACTTCAGGCTCTTTACAATCTGGATGAAGTCGCGCGAGTCCTTTACAAAAGAAGATGTTTTTCCTACCAATGGTTGTAGTACTGACGCAACGTGCTTTGCAAGATCATAAGTCGGTGAGGCAATTTGGCTTACAATAGGCCGCAATGGCACGTTGGACTTATGTATTTTAGGTAGGCCATACAGTCGAGGCGGTTGATGTGCCTTAGGTTTATATAGCTTTTCGTACTCATCTTCTGTAAATAGGTCCTTATGTTCTTGAATTAGAGCTCGTATTTTCCGTGTTACTCGGGCCGTAGGGTTATATGAGACCGGCTTGTAAACTTTGTCATCACTCAGTAACTCCCGTATTTTATTGTGGTAATCAGACGTATTAATCACTACAGTGGCGTTTCCCTTGTCGGCCTTAAGCACTAAAATATCCGGATTATCCCTTATAGTTCTTAGTGCCTGACGCTCTTCTGTAGTGACGTTGCTAGCCGGAGGCTTCGACTTCCGCAATATCACCGCAATGTCCTGTCTCAGGGTTTCGGCATCGCCGGGCGGTATTTTATTACGAATAATCGTTTCCTCGATATTACTAATTACTTTTTCATACGGGATTCGCGTAGGTGTCAGTGCAAAATTCATACCTTTGGCCAATATTTTTGTGGTAGGTTCGTCGAGACTCGTATTTGATAAATTAATTACATCAACCGCCTCGACTGTATGGCCTACCTAAAATACATAAGTCCAACGTGCCATTGCGGCCTATTGTAAGCCAAATTGCCTCACCGACTTATGATCTTGCAAAGCACGTTGCGTCAGTACTACAACCATTGGTAGGAAAAACATCTTCTTTTGTAAAGGACTCGCGCGACTTCATCCAGATTGTAAAGAGCCTGAAGTTGGAACCTGATGAACTCATGGTGAGCTTTGACGTTGAGTCGTTATTTACCAATGTGCCAATTAAGGAGTGTCTGGATGTTGTCAAAGATGTACTTAGTGACAATGACATGCCCCACAACTATATTGATTTGCTGAAACACTGCCTGGATGGAAATTACTTCCTTTTTCAAGGCCAACATTACCTTCAAATCGATGGCGTAGCCATGGGAAGTCCAGTGGCCCCTGTGTTAGCTAATCTTTGGATGGAACACTTTGAAAAACAGGCATTGAGCCTCGGCCCAAATACCATCAGGCTTTGGAAAAGGTATGTGGATGACATTTTCAGCATTATCAAGGGAGGTGAACAAGAAGTACGTCAATATGTAAATCACCTAAACAGCATCCACCCAAAAATGCGTTTTACTTATGAGCTGGAGACGGGCAGGTCGTTGTCATTCTTGGACATTAAAATAACCGCGAGATCAGATGGGTCCTTATCGCACTGTGTATACCGAAAGCCAACTCACACTGATCGGTACCTACATGCAAAGTCACATCACCACCCCCGACACTTACAATCCGTGATGATATCACTAAAAAACAGAGCATATGACCTCTGTGACCCTGAACATCTGGGGCAAGAGCTAGACCATGTTCAGGAGGTACTTAAAAAGAACGGATATAGTGTAGGGGATGGGCGACTATTGCGACCGCTGAAGAGAGCCAGACATCCAAACGTGAGCAGACAACCTGCCTTCATGCCTTATATCAAGGGTGTGACAGACAAGATAGGATCCGTCCTTAAAAAGTTTTCGATCCCGACGATCTACACACCTGAGGCTAAACTTCATGATAAGGTAGGCACGGCGAAGGATGTACTGCCGCTACAAAGCCCAGGTGTTTATAAGATCAACTGCAGCTGCGGTAGTTCCTACATTGGGCAAACGAAGCGGACCATTGCTGAGAGGCTCAAAGAACATATCGCCGCAGTCAAAAACCGACAGAGCAACAAATCAGCGATAGCAGAACACCTGCTCCAGGCTGGTTCTAATCACTGGGTAGAATTCCACCGACCGCAAATTCTCTCCACTGATCGCCACTACCATACAAGACTTGTGCGTGAAGCGGTTGAAATAAAGAAATGCCCAAATAATTTCAATCGGGAGGACGGCTTTAAATTGTCGTCGACGTGGAATCCAGTGCTTCGCAAAACACAACCTCGCTTTCCTTCAAAGTCGGTTAACACATCTGTGGATATAATCAGCGTAGTGTGTAGACGGCCTAATATGGTAGAAAATGAAAATAAGGGGGTAGATGAAGATTCATCACCCGAATGCAGGGAGCTGTGACATCGCGTCTTCAGTCTGCTTGTGACCACGACCTGTGCAACCGGGTCGAAACGTCAAGCCTACCAAGGTTTGCGGGGTAAGCGCAATAAGGTACCGCGACCTCGGCACAGAGCAGGAGAAGGAACAGGGGGGTTTTTAGTCAGTAAGAGTCTGACACTCCCTCCTGCCCGGCCCTGGGCGGGAGAAGTCATTTGATGATTTTCCCCTCACAAAAAAAAAAAAAAAAGCCTACCAAGGTATTCAAATTATAATTTTCCGCGTTAATACCCGCGTAAATATAATGTTCATATTTCTATTTGTATTTTACAGTGTATTAATTTTGTTCGTGTACGTGGAATGTACTTTTTTGGCCATGTCCTTTACATACACAAGCTACTACCTATATGACTGGAAACAACAATTTTTGGATAACACAAAATTTACTTTGCATATTAGCCAGTTGCCCAGCTAATGTACCAATAGTGCAGTCAAAAATCGATACATTATTTTTTTGACATAACTAGTTATTTACTTAATGCATGTGTAGATACGGCTTTTAGTCCTTGTATTAATTGGTTTGAGAGGGAAGAGACGCAAACATCAGCTCAAGTTAACCTAGTAACCCTTCAATGTAATCCTAACTATAAAGGATAAAGTTTAATTAGTAACGGAAACAACTTAATACGTGATTGTATTTATGACACTAAACTAAACCCTAAAGAAACCTATGTTCTAAAGAAATTAATTTTTCCTTCATTAGTCTATAATTTATATACAACATTTTTAAGTGTGGGAGAGCCATGCTTCGGCACGAATGGGTCGGCTCGACCGGAGTGATACCACGGCCTCACAGAAAACCGGCCTGAAATAACCACAGCGTTGTGTTTCGCCGTGTGAATGAGTTTACCGGAGACCCAATCCTTCCCCTCCCCCAATCCCTCCTAAATCCCTAAATCTCCAAATCCCTAATCCCTAAAAGGTCGGCAATGCACTCGTAACTCCTCCGTTGCGAGTGTCCATGGGCGGCGCTGATTGCTTACCATCAGGTAATCCGTCTGCTCGTTTGCCGAACTATTAAATAAAAAAAAAATTCAAGAACATTAGTAAGCATTAGGAGGATAGCATAAAATGATATGATAAAAATATTAAAAGTCTCGCACTAACTTAACATCAAATGGTACCAACCAACTCACATCGAGTATTCTAGACGCCTTTAAATGTGAACAAACTTCCAGATAAATAATGCAGTGAACATCATTCAACAATATACGGTACTTGATAACAGTGTATCTTTATTTCCAAACACATCAAATAAAATCAGACGTCTAATTATAGACCGATTTATTTGTTTACCATTGAATCGGATCCAACTGTAGTTTTCTGGGCAATTAGTTACTTGACTTAAACAGACATTAAAGTCAGAAATAGTTAACCAATAATTGTATTCTTCATTTATATTAATCGATCGATTCTGATAACGAAGCCCTTTACTACACCGAAACCAAAATATTATAGGTACTGTTTAATACCTACTCAAGTTATTAAAAATAAAAACCCACATACATATAACATGAATTTACGCTAAAAAAAAAAAAAAAAATAATAACAATAATTAATCCGCAAGGCAGCTTGTGGCGAGCTGTTGGGCAGTGGCGACCCCACGGACCTGACTCCCAGGAGGTGTCTTGTTTTTCACCTCCGGTTAGTCCTCGTGACGAGCTGGAGTGAACACTGATGAAGAACAAGCCCTCCCACCTCATTCTTGCCTTAATTGGCTGGCTTGAGTGCAGATTCGCAAGAGTAGTAGTTGAAGGAAACTCGGGGGAAGGATGTATCTCAGTAAGGTGCTGGTAGGGATCTTGACCTTTCTTCCGGGATTGTTCTGATAGCCGTGGGATACCTCTCCTTCCCCAAGGTATATTGCCCCCGTGTCGCTACATGTTAGCGGCCGTTTTCGGGGGCCCATTAATTGATTTTGCCAGTCACCCCTTGCCTGTTTATCCGTATGTATCAATATTGGTCAGGGGCAGGGGCCATAGTATCTCCATAGTTTTCATCCACTAGTGCATAGCAACCTATACCTATAACCCTATCAATTGTTACCACATTTTACAATAGTCCTGCATCGACCGGGGATTGTCCTTGGGTGCACTTTTATAGTACATACAGGGATAATTGCTGGCTGATTTCCCATCACATTTAGATTCGAATTGTTCAACGGGCCTCTGCGAGTTGGCTTCGGCTCCTCGTATGCCTTCCAAAGGTCCGGGACCCTGTTGTCCCGTGAAAGGAAAGAAGAAAGAACAATAATTATAGATTAGCTTAAGTAACTATCGGTTCAAAAAGCAAAACGAACAGTGCTCAATCCCCTTTGCATTGTTATGAATCTCGAGACTACATATTTGAATAAAAGAAAAAGAACCAATTTTTTTTTTGCTAACAAAATAAAATATACTATTTTTCAGATATCGTCAACATGATCCTCACGCTAATATGGGTGGTTGTCTTGATAGCTACAGCCGTGTTGTTCCTAAGACAGGCTTATGCAACATTTGATCGATATGAAATCAAATATTTGAAGGCGGTTCCCATTTTATCTGACTTGATCGCAATAATCAGACCTAAAGAACACATTGGCCTTGATCTCGCGAAAACTTACAACAGTTTTCCTAATGAAAGGTAAGTCAAATTACAATCATAACTATTTTCAAATCGACCAAAGATTTATTCGTATTTGTGAAAACCAAAAAGCAAAATGATTTCTTGCAAAATTATCAGAGTGTGTAGAGGAAGTATAAAATGATAATTTATTTTTTATTCATGATGTAGTGTTGAAATAAAATGTGTTTATATACAAATTTTAAAAAGTTATTTATTGATGTGGTTATCCCTCTATATCACAAGAGTAGCACTTAATTGAATTATAATTAAAAAATACTTATTAGCAACACAAGGTGTAAAATAAGTCATCAAATGTTTAGTCTAGTATTACAGTGATAAGACATTTTTAAAGTCCCAATTGATAAAGCAAAAGTAACTTACTTTTTGACGCATTCTTATTAAAGTATTATCTTTTCCAGGTTCGTGGGGAAACTTCAGTTTTTAAAAGAAGCAATATTAATACGCGACCCGGAGCTAATTAAGAAGATGACGGTCAAAGACTATGAGAACTTCCTCAACCATCCTAACACTGCGCCTCCCGAATCATTCTTTAGCAAACTGTTATTCTTTATGAAAGGTATTTTTAACTCTTTAGTGCATATGTATTTTCGTGTAATATTTTTTTTTTTATTTAATTGCTCGGTAAACGAGCCGACGGATTACCTGATGGTAAGCAATCAGCGCCGCCCATGGACACCCGCAACGGAGGATTTACGAATGCGTTGCCGACCTTTTAGGGATTAGGGATTTGGAGATTTAGGAATTGAGGAGGAATTGGGGGCGGGGAAGGATTGGGCCTCCGGTAACCTCACTCACACGCCGAAACACAACGCTGTGGTTGTTTCACGCCGGTCTTTTGTGAGGCCGTGGTATCACTCCGGTCGAGCCGACCCATTCGTGCCGAAGCATGGCTGTCCCAAATTTCCGAAGCATGGCTCTCCAATTTATAACTTTAACTTTTTATAATATGTTATTTAATAAATTACAGGAGAGGAATGGAAGGAAATGCGTTCCACGTTGAGTCCAGCGTTCACGAGCTCCAAGATACGGCTGATGGTGCCTTTCATGGAGGAGGTCGGTGATCAAATGATTCAGTCTCTCAAGAAGAATATAGAAAATTCAAAAGGTTTGTACATGTATCTATGTACTAAAGACAAAGGTACAATATTAAAAAACATAAATTTCAACTATAATTCTCTAAAGAGCAAGAGAACTTTTCATAATATTTGTTTTTACATTACACATTTAGGTGTGGAAGAGCCATGCTTTGCTGGGATTCGGTCGCTTGCTCGACTGGAAAGAGGTTATCGGAGAACCAGTCCTCACCGGTCACCTCCATTCCCCAAAACCCCAATGCTGAAATTTCTTACTTCCATGCCATGAGCCCAAGTTCGCTATTGGGTTCACATGCAAGTCTTAAATGACCTTGAATATTTTCATTTCAGATGGCTACATAGATATTGAATGCAAGGATCTCACAACACGTTACGCCAATGATGTGATAGCAACCTGTGCCTTTGGTCTGAAGGTGGACTCTCATAATGATGAAAACAACCAGTTTTACTTAATGGGAAAGATACTTAGCGGAATCAGTTTTGCCAAGATTCTGTTGTACATGATTCTCGTTAACGTGCCTTATGTCATGGAGGTAATTGTTAAATTTGTACGTAATACCTCAGAATACAGAAACCAGAATCCGCGTTCACTCATAATTGCATGTCGTCTAATGTGTCCAAAAACCATACGTCAATCCCCCCGCCAGCCGCACTTCCCACCCGCGTAGTGTTGCCGACAGTGGAACAATTCCCTTAGTTTGGGGTAATTTTTCAAAAGGAGGGTAAGATATTTTAGTTTACGATAAATGGAACAGACTAGTTGTTAATACATTTCATTCAGGTATCATAAAAGTTGACGATTTCTGGTTGTGTTAATTTTAGTTACACCAAATTTAAGTTACTGTACACAACAAATAAAACAAAGCTTCAATAAGTACCAAAGGTTTTATTGAGTTCTCTTTTGATGATTTACCTTTTTATAATACGTATTGTCTTTTAGACTCGGAACTGATTAGAAGTTTACTTACTTTACTTAGTTCCTGAGATAAGCGCGTTCAAGCAAACAAACAAACTCTTCGGCATTATAATTAGTATAGTTAGTATGAGTTGCTATTTTCTTCAGTCTTTTTAAACCACCTTCGTCATAAATATATTGCTCTTCAAAGTGAATTGAGCAAACTATCCTTCGGCTAGATGATTTCCAAAATTTATCTAACCGTGCACTTTGTGTAATTTTTATCCATTTAAATTTTATTGTTCGTCGACAAGGAAACTAATATGACAACAGTTCCACAATGGACAAAAGATAACTCACAACAAATAAATAAGTGGGTAAAATTTTCACCAAAAATGACAACACTCACAAAATGGCCGCATCATTTTCATAGAAAAATAAATCGGTAAACAAAAATTTATAATTAATTAAATATACTATTGCAGTCGATGCTTACAGATGAAATGTAATCTTATCCACTTTTTTCGTAATCCCAGCCTCATTTTTACTCGTAAGAATAGCACAAGACGGCATAATGAAATTAAATTTGATACTCGTAAATACGTCACGACATGCCACGTGCCAAAATTGACTGATCGTAGAAATTTCATACAACTCAAGTTAAGAGTGGTTTTAGTTGCTTCAGTATGAAGCGCGTTGACGCCTTCTGGTTTGTTCTGTATTCTGAGCGTAATACGTAAGTTTAGAAAAGAGTTTAAAATAAATAGTGTATAGTTGATAAGATTCAGAAAAAATGTTTCGGGGTTTCTTCATATTGTAAGAATAGCTAGAAGATTCAAAAAAGAGTTTTATCGGGCGAGCATGAATGCGTTAGTCAAGAGGCGCCCTAAAAAGACGCACATCAATTAAATGGGTGATACTAAAACAAAGGTCTTATTAAAACCATCCTTAATGGACAAGCATGCATGAAGACATTAATGTGAAGTAAAAGAGGTATGATAGAATCTTACTATACCTCGAAAAAAAAAACAGATATAATCGAAGATATTATGTTTGTATGTGTGTTATGTTTGTATGTGTGTTTTGTTTAAAAAAAATTCAAATATATTGTGTTTTGTATGTCTTGTAGACTCAAACTTTGCAACTTTGGTTAGAATATTTTTATTCATATCACTTATTATTTCTTTAACATTTTCAGATTTTAGATTGGGATTTCATACCGAAGTCAGCCCAGAAATATTTCAAAACTTTGGTACTGGAAACAATGAAAAATCGGGAGTTACAGAATATTGTAAGGCCAGATATGATTCACTTACTAATGGAAGCTAAAAAAGGTAAAATAATGTGAAAAATATCAACTGGTGTCTCGTGTGTTTTGTTCAACAGTAATTTAATTCGTATTAACTATCAGTTTTATATTTTAGGTAAATTGAAATACGATGATGATAAATCAACTGATGACGGAGCTGGGTTTGCGACTGTTGAAGAATCTGCGGTCGGAAAAAAGTCACTTACTAATAAAGGTATGAAAATTTCAAAATTTATTTTGTTATTAGTTGTAATGGGCAGTTTGGTCACCATTTACTCTGGTGATAAGCGATGATGGGAAATACGGTGGGAGATGGAAGTACGGTTGCCCATAAACAACGTATTTACTAACTGGGCCTTGAAGACATCCTCGTTAACTCGAAAAACTTGAAATAAAACACTTCGTGTATGTGTGGGTAAAATATCCGCCATGAAGCAATAGCTATTTGCCGATTGCCTGGTGGTTCGATGTGTACAGGGCTTAGAAGAATCCAATTGTGTAATTCTATCGCACACTCACCGAAATATAGGTCATTGCTATTTTATAATGTTGGTCAGCAAACGCATGTTCTCCAGTGAAGAAAGTTTAAACAATAATCACCACGCTTGCTTAAAGCGAGTAAGCGATATCACTCAGCACTCATCAGCGACTTTTAATTGGAAATTATAAGTATTTATTTTTCGCCCGATGTTCACCTTGGCCGTATGACAGAGATGAAAAAGGACACATGCACTTGCCAGATTTTGACCCTCTAGCAGCAGCAGGACATCCTACCTTTTGCTACCACCATGTTTTTTTAATAATAAATAACATAATTTATTTTCCTAATTACAGTTTGGACCGACGAGGATTTGGTGGCTCAAGCATTCATATTCTTTGTTGCTGGCTTCGAATCGGTTTCATCGAGTATGTCGTTCTTACTGCACGAGCTGGCATTGAACCCTGATGTGCAGGAACGTTTGGTGCAGGAGATCAGAGAACATGATGAGAAGCATGGTGGAAAGGTGGACTTCAGTTCCATACAGAGCTTGAAGTACTTGGATATGGTTGTGTCAGGTAAAACATGTTTCATTGTAAGAAATAAATAATGTTGACTTCAATTATTTTTTTATTTTACTCTAACGGTCATATCTGTTTTCTTTCCAGAGGTATTAAGATTGTGGCCACCATTTGTAATTATTGACAGAGAATGTACAAGAGATTACAATCTGGGGAAGCCCAACGATTCAGCGGCACGCGAATTTGTTGTAAGTTTTCTGTAATATATTGTCTGTATGTAATTTCTGTTTATATTTTATCAACAGATTTTTTTGTGACTATATTCTATTTCATAATATTTTTTAAAAAAATCTTATTTTTAAGGTACGAAAAGGTGCAGAATTGTGGATACCAACGTATGCTTTACACCGTGATTCTCAGTATTTCCCGGACCCTGAAAAGTTCGATCCTGAGCGTTTTTCTGAAGAGAATAGACACAAAATTAAACCATTTACATACATGCCTTTTGGTTCTGGACCTCGGAACTGTATCGGTAAGGTTTTGTTGTTTCACAATATATGAATGGTGATCCACATGTTATCAATAACATTTTAAGGTTCATGTTACCAAAAGACGCGATGCAATGCAGAGTGACATGCTTTCACTGGCATAGTTCTTATAGTATTTGTTATTAGTACGATTTGGTATGATGGAAAAGTTTATTTGTCATCATTCCTTTTATCAGGGTCAAGATTTGCTCTCTGTGAGATGAAGGTGATGGCCTACCAGCTTCTGAGTTACATAGAGCTGTCTCCATGTCAGAAGACTTGCATCCCTGCCAAACTAGCCACGGATAGTTTCAACTTAAAGCTGGAAGGTGGACATTGGTTAAGGTTTAGGCTAAGAAAATAAAAGTGTCATTGTGTCATACTACCTAAATACAAGGTTTTCATTTTTTTTGTATTTACCAAACATGTTGTGACTGCCATGTGTATGGCAAAATACTTCTATCACCACCGCTCTTTTTCGCATCATTATCAGCCTGATTCCGTCCGCTGCTGGACGTAGGCCTCTCCAATTACACGCCTGTCGGTTCGGTGTTAAGCTCTTGTCATCCAACCACTGCCAGCCACCCTGCGGATATCGTCAGTCCACCTAGTTAGAGTCTGCCCTATACTACATTTGCCTAGACGTGATCTCCACTATAGAACACAAACATCTGCTACATAGACAGCAGAAATTGTCATGAGTATGTCTGATGATGTAAAAAGATTTTGTTAAGTATGAGACTGCTGGAAGGATAACCAGGTTTAGAACTTAACAAATTGAAATTAAATATCGATGCTAGATAAGTTATTTTAGTAGTAACATAGAAATTATATTAAGTGTAGGTTACCTATTTTAATGTGCATTTAAAAAATAATTGTTTACAATATTTTAGTATGTAGCTAATTGAATGTTCTTAATAAAATGTTTCAACTGTATTTTAGTTTTACCTTATTCTTTACCTTTACTTCTTATTGAATGCAAGAAGCTTATTTGAAGTACATACAAATAACTATAATAGGTGTTTGTTGAACTATCACAATCTGCATCGGAAAATAAAAGGATGTTCCTGCAGCAATCAGCATATCCGCCACATTGGAAGAGGTACGAGTGCGGGGCTAGCCTTTCGGCACTTGGGAATTCGAGTATTGGTCCTCACGCAAGAGTAAGAATGAGGTTGTATTAAGTCAGTATAATTTAAAATTCTCTCTTGCCCTACCCAGGGTGGAGTGCAGAGCGCTAATGGAGTGGCGATGGAGAGTAGATTATAATATTAAAATAATAAATATTTAATAAATATTAATTAACATATATGTGTTATCATCACCCAGTTGAATTTAAAACCAAATAGACTAGCATGATTGCCAGGGCTTGTAACTTTAGAATAATAATGTTTTGTTCTGTTTAGACGGGAAATGAATTACAGATAAAGATTAGCCCATGTTTACTTGATAACGTTATCTTTTATATTTAGATGTATGATGTAACATGGAAAATCGTTTTGTAATGTTATGACGTCAGTCACACTAAATATTGTTAGAGAAGCTCGCTACTCCTGTCTTTGTGAAACAGTAAATGACACGAATCTGCCATACCAGTTTCGCCTCCTCATAAGACATTCTCTTCCCTCGTAGTTCTTTTTGTGTTGATATAAGTATCCATCTCTACAAAACTGTGTTGACATTTAACGTCCAACCACCTGGTTGCGCGTAAAAGCGTATTGATATACCATAGATGAACTTGCACGGTTCCCACATTATCCAAAATGTATACGAAAAAAACTCAAAGGCTCGCAACTTGACGCCTGGATGAGCGCGTGTGAGAAGAGGCCTTTGCTCAGTAGTGGGCACATATAGGCTGATGATGAGAGGTTTTTAAATTAAGCTACGAAAGAAAGTCGTATTGCCAAGCCGGGCCAGGTTCAGGCGAGGCCCAAGGGGGCCTTGCTCTGCCATGGATGTCCAGGGCGGCGCTAAAGGAGTTCGGAGATTAAGGGATTAGAAAGTGATGAGAAAAGGGGAAGGATTGGCTCCGGTAACCTCATTCTCATGGAGAAACATAGCTCTGTTGTTACTTAACGCCGTTTTTTTGGGAGGCCTTGGTATCACCCAGGTTAAGCCGATTCATTTGTGCGGAAGCATGGCTCTGTTACACTTAAAACAAAGCTGTTCTTTATTTACGTTCAAAAATAATACTTGCATTTTTCAAGTATTTGTGTATTCGTTCTTTGAGCTAGTTAACTGAACATTATATTTAAGCATTTTCACATCCAGTATCTACATACATATATAATAGAATAGCCTACCGGCAACTACCGATCTCAAACAGGTTGCCAAAAAAGAAAATTATTAAAAATCCGTGTTTGTTTTCGGTAATATATAAACGTTCGTTACGGGTGACCGTCGACCGTGCGTACCGTATTAATTATCCGGGTTAATTACAATACTGAATTATACCGCCCAATTACGTCACCCAGCCTAGAGAGTGGAAATTTTCAAGCTTTTTTTTAATGGACATAAAACTTAAAGTAAGTGTTACAACTACTCCGTTATTATTCTTAAGTCTGATTAGTATAAATAATCAAGATAAATAACATTAAGATTCTACTTGAGTTTTTTTTAAGAACTTTAATTTTCCTTTAAAATCTTGGCAATATTACTATGACGATAATTATGATTGTTTTTGTCGGAGGTGCCTGACAATTTTCCTTACGCAATCTTCCAAAGTTGCGTTTCGTGCAAAGATTGCATGGTAACTTTTGTGTTTTCTCACAATGTTCATACCTAGTTACTACTAGCTACTCGCCTATATTTATTATTATCTACATCATAAATAATTATTCATTCATCGTCATCGTGTAAATGCCCAAAAGTTTCTCACACTACCTCAAGGTGATTTCAAACATATAATTTCAAATCGAGGATTCGTCAAATTTTTTTCCTTTACGATATGTCAATAGTGTCTAAGTAATCATAGAAAGTAGTTCGTTATAATACAGAGAAAGCAACATTAGTACTTGCCATATTTAACGTTTAGGCTACTAGGATATCATAGTCGCTATAAAGTAAGTCACTGAGCTATAGTTGGTGTACTGCACGAAAATAGTCTAATAAATTTGCCTTTTAAGTTAGCTATCGATTAAGTTAAACTTCCCGTGGCGGCTGGCTGTCTGCTATATTTTCGAATTTATTATGTAAATTAGCGGCGACTGTTGCAGCTAATCCTGTAGCTTCTTTGTTTTCGCTTACATTATTCATTTGTTTTCATTGCGCTAATGACTTCTTCATGACAGCCTTACAAATGGCTTTTTGGGCATTAAGAAAAACCAGTTTTGGCTTGTAATCATATTAATATCCTGATAACTTGCAAGTTTTTAGAGGGCAGGTCTAATTGAATTTTGATTGAATTCCGGACTTTCTTTTGAACTTCTTACTTTTATGAGGAGATAAGTAGGTAGTAGGTATTATTTCTGATAGAAATGAATAAATAATGTAAATGGTGTTTTTTCACATTTACCTACGGCGACCTAGTTATTTTGTGTACTCGTTATTGTTAATACTTTGAATTTGTGTTTAGTGGAGCACAGATACAAACCTTTTTTATATTTATTTGGCCACTATTATAAGCATATTCTGACACACACTGTATGACTGAAAAAAGCGAGAAAAAAAAATGCGTGCATTGTGACCTACCCTCTAAATGAGGCTACCGGACGACCAATCCTCCGGATCCTATCTTCTTTCCCTAAATTCTGTTTCCTCAAATTCCTTACTCCCAAAATGCCAACGATGCACTTGATGCACTTGCAACTTCTGTGGCGTCATGACCGCTGCATAGCTTACCATCACGTGATCTGGCTCCAATACTATATCCCATTAAAGTTGTCGTTTTAATGATATAAATACAAAAGATAATTATTTGACCTTTGAAATACTTTATAAGAAAAAATAAGTAGTAGTGAAGATAGTTAAGTTTACTATTTTGAAGAAAAAAAACAATTATTTTCCTATTTTATTTAACGAATGGGAATCTACCTAACTTATTGATGCCTGCAACATAGGAGCAGTCACTAGTGCGTTCCCGACCTATTGAGGATTTGAGTTTTTGGGATTAGGGAGGGAATCGGGAGAGAGTAGGAGAAAAAATCATTATTTATCCCCCTAGTTGATTCTGGACGCGATTCGAGCTTTTGAGTAAAGCGTCCGGGTGCAACTGGCGAGCCGAAAAGCTAAATTTGTTTTTTTAATGTTTGGCAGTTCTAATCAGTGGTTTGTGAGGTGCCTGGCTTTTGATACAATAACACATCTGGACATTTTAACATATCTTAGCAGTCTAAATTCACCAATATTCTTACATCTACCATTGGATTGTCTTGTCCGTATGTGTGTGTTTAAGTCCATAAAGTTTATTTACTGAATAATAATAGCATATCTGTACCCCTTTGGAGTTAAAAAAGAATGACATTTACCATACCCGTCTTGAAATTCACCTTTATTTATCCATGTTAGAATTAAACCAAATGAACCACATTCGACCTTAAGGGCATCGTCAATTGTACTAACGTCCTTAATCGCGGTGTGCAGTGTTGCCAGCTCCAATGAGCATCCCTCAGCCGGCTCATTAAAGACGAGAGAAGTTGGCTCGCAAACTGCCAAGATAAAGTTACTATATCGGTCCCTTGATTAAAGACTACTTTATTTACCCCCATTCTTTGTTTTGCTGATTGCCTATTAGCTGAGATTGTTTTGTGTGGAGTTGTAAACGAGATTTTGATTTCAATGCTAGCGTTCTGTTTTTAAAAGTTTGAAATCAAGTGGAAAGGAGGGTGTATTTACAAGTTAGTTTATGTGTTATCTTCATTGTTGATTTCAATAAGTTTTCGTTATTCTTATAACACTTAACAGTAGAAGATAAGATAAATATTATTATCTGAATCTTTGTTTATTCTTATTTATCAAACGCAAAGATAACATCTCCTTAAATATTTTAAGGCATCCTCTTCAAAAGCATTACATAAATCTTAACAATTTTAGATTGTAACAAGCGTACTGAGGAAGATGTTAATGCCGCGCGTTGTTTTAAATTCGTGTAACTTCTGGTATTACGGTGGAAATCCCACGGCGGCACACATACACGGTATAATAAAAGTGTACGAACAACTTTGTGGAAACAGCCGCTTTACGATGCGCGGTCAGATACATACAGATATTGGGGACGACTAGCTTGTTGGTTCCTGACATATCTGCTACGTACCTATCTAAATAATAATTGCAGGGGATCTAGGTCTCTGGACATTATCTAATGAATCACTTTGATGATTTTTCATCCTTAAATCCTTAAATAAGGCTGGAAATGTAGCCGTTGCAAGTCTCCTCGTTTATGAACATCAGCTCTATAATATATTTCTTCAAACAACAGGTATAGGATATTCTTGACATTGAAATATTTTTGAATAATAACAGAGAAATATGTGACAAAATTGTGTATAAGTAATGTTATACATATACAAAATTTTGTCTGGTGAATGGGTTTAAGTACATTTCATCACAACGCCGCTTTAACAAGTTTATTAAATTGCATTCAAAACCATTGAAACACATGATTATTTAAAAGTTTCACGTTTACACTAATATGAGCTAATATTTGCTGATTTTGTGGTCCGTATTTTACAGGGTCCGCTAAGTCTGTAGCGCAGTTGATGGGAACTAATGTTGCAAAGCTTTTAGCTAAACCCCCCTCCCACCACCTGTCGTCATACAATGCCCCTCATTACACGTCACATAAATAACAAAAGGCTGTTTCGAAACTTCTAGAAAAATGTCTTGAGGACGTGGTTAGCTGTATGGCTAATGCCGCAAATTAAGCTTGCGTTTTCTCAACAAAGGATGGATTTAAAGAAAGGATAACATTGACAAACAATCAGAGTTTCCAGAAAAAGACATTGCTGTTTGGAGAGGTTTGTAATTTATTTATAGGCTGTAAATTTATAAAATTGACTGTATATTAAAGCAAGGAATAAAAATCAAAACTTAAACGTAATATTTTGTATTATTTGCTTATTCAAAAAATAAACTAAATATATTTTTTACACTTATCTAACACATTGGAGCTAAATGAATAGGTTCGTCGTTAGCTGCAACCCACGCGTCTCCTGTTTTTGCGACCTTAAAGATCTCCACAGCAGCCTTACCAACAGTCTCCGGTGTTTGAACTTTTACTTGCGACACGTTTTTTTCAGATGCTTCTCTGTGTATGTCCCATATTTTAACACTAAGCATTACTGTATCAGTAAACCCTGGGCATATGGCAATTACTCTCACACCAGTTTTTTCATAGTTGAGAGGATGACCAAGCGATCTTGTAAAACCTAAAACTGCATGCTTAGCAGTTTTATAGAATACTGTGAATGGATCAAATTCATAAGAATATATCGAGGCCACATTGTATATCGTTCCTCCTCGACCGCCTCTGTCCGTTCTCCAATGCTCCCAAAATTTCATACTCCATTCGACTAGTGCAATGCAGTCAATTTCTATTGTCTTCCTTATTGAAAACTCGTCTATAATTCCTGCATTATTAATAAGAACATCTGCTTCATATTTCTCGAATATTTCACTGGATACTTTGTCTAAATCCCTTGTGATGTCACATTTTATAAAAACCGCTTTGCCTTTGCCATGCTTTGCGTTAAGTGTAAAGGCAGATTTAACGCCAACTGGTTCTGTCAGATCCAATATGATAACAGTTTTTGCACCGTTTGTCAGGAACTGGTCAGCAATTTCATATCCTATGCCTCTCGCTCCTCCTGTGACCACAATGACTTTATCTTTGGGATCGTTCTCCATATCTGCGTGTAGTATTCTGAAGGATTGCTTATGTACTTGTGAAGTTGAAATTGCTTACTATGGTTTATATAGTATATTTCAGGGCTTGAATGGCATTATCTAAGAATCTTGAATATTTAATCAAAACACTAATTTAGATAAACATTTCATAATATTTCAAAACATTATATAAATAATTACTACTCAAAGGAAGGTGTTGTACATGTGATTATCATAAGATAAAGTATGAACCTCAGTAAAGCGCGTAGTCAAGGAATAGAAAAAACAAAAAACCATAGCCAAGCTTATATACATAACAGCAAAGAACAAAAAGTCTATAGTGTAGACAAAGTGTATTCTTTTTCAAAAGTTAGCGTGAGAAAAATCGATCTAATATAGTTTTCATTTTTATAATAATCAATCAAAATATTGTTGATTAAAAAGATGACACCATCATCTTTTTAATCAACAATAGTTTAATTGATTATTGACTAATGACCATTGATGGACTCTAGTACTTTATTTTAGGACGAAAAAATTATAGTACGTCTGTAAACTAAAACCTGTGGCTGCTATCATTAGCACTTCCAAGGGTCACCTGGTATAGGGCTGATGTTCAGCCGGAGTTTCGGGGTAAGTGCAATGATTCACTGTGACCTCGGCCCAGAACAGGAGAAGGAACGAGGGGTTTTTAGTCAGTAAGAGTTTGACACTCAGCCCACCCCTGGGCGGGAAAAGTCATTTGATGGTTTTACCCTCACAAAAAAGGGCCACCTGGTCTTCTCACTAGACTAACTAGAAATTTAATACTTTCACTAAGTACCTAATAGCGCCTGAACCGTAACCCCAGCGCAACTTACATCTTTATGAAAATCTACGTGTGTTATTTGAATTAAACCTGGGGTCCTATTCTAGGCAGATGCGCTGGTGACCACTAGACTGACAAAAAGTCGGAGCTACAAATAAAATTTAAAAAAATATTACATAATAGTAAACTATGTTATGAAATAACTGCAAATATTAAAAATAATTGTGTTACATAAGTCATAATCAGACTTAACCTATAAATAAATAAATATAATATTTATCAATGATCTTTATCGGTGTCCTACCGATAAGTAGCGTGTTTATAAATAGTACATTTAAAATTTTTGTAAGTTCATTCGTCATCGTCGTTCACGCATTAATATAGGTATATGTATTTTATGCGTGAACCACCAACAAAGTTTAACATGAACATAAATATTTTCTATTATAATTATAAATAGATAATAACTATAACCATAATGTAATATTAATTAAAAGTAAATTAAATTTAAACTTATTTACAAAATTCAATTCCTATTTTAAAAAATGGATTGTGGCGCATTTTTATTTAACATGGGAAGTGCATGCTTCGTCTCCAATAAGGCGGTTCGATCTGAGTGACGGCCTCCAAAAAAAATATCGTCACATAGCTTGTATTTCATTCCTACCGTCACCATCCACCATTTAGAAATACCTAAAAGGTCGGCAACTCACTTGTCATTCCTCTGATGCAGGTGTCCATGGACGAGACCGATGGTTTAATAACAGGTGATTTTCGTTTGAAAATCCATTTTAATCACATTATTTTAATTACAATTAAAAATACGTACCTTTTCCTAATCATCACACTGCTGAGTAAATATCTGTTTTCACCCAAAACAAGAAATGGACATTAATCACAAGGCATGCTTAATTCGGTAATTTTAAACTTGTAAGATTAACGATGTGAGCTAAACTCAGATTCAGTCACATTGGTGAGGTGAGGGTGTTTTAACCTTCGAAATAGCACGACTTAGACTTGAGATGGTTTTTACTTGACAGCGCCAGATAAAGACTGAATCCTTTACGTAAACATTAACATTGGATAGTGATAAAATATTTATAAAAAAATAAATACTTAGTTGCAGTAAATCTTCTACAAAATTAATTGCTGAAAAAAATCTGTTTTCTTATGAATATGGCCTTGTAATTAGCTGTGCTTGACAGAGTCCATGATGATCGGACATAGAATGCAAATAAAACTTGAGTAACGTTTCAACATTATGGTCAATCTCTTAGTCAATACTCTAAGTAGAGATTATAATACTGGAGGTTTTAAAATCTTTCATAAAAATATCAAAATACAAATGGGATAGTTGCATTCGGGTTCTAACTTTATTAATTGATCATTTTTATTATAACTTTCGTGAGACATTCTAAATTATTTATTATGTTTTCGGCTTAATCACGTAATAATTTGACGAGATACTCGACTAGTTTCAAGCCATGCTAGAGGCCCATATTCATGAGCAGCATTCCGCGACTCGACTCGGCGACTGTCGCGCTGCTACTGGCTACTCGAGTCTGCGCGCAAAGCGCGCCCTCTGCCGTGATTCACGCGCACTTTCTTCTAGCCGTGGTGTCGGCAGCGACGGCGCGCGCGACACTGTTGGCACGCTAGACTCGCCCGCCTGCAGCTGCGTTGGTGTTGGGTTCAAATCCCGGGTCGACGCAAAAACAGTTACATACCGCGCTAACTGTGTCACACTCCAGACCCGCAACAGTGCAGTCTGATGCAGATTTCAGACTCGGCTTCCAGGCAGGTGGTAATGCCCAGCCACCGTCTCTGTTGAAGTTCGGACGCCGCCGCCGGTTCTAGCATGGCTTGAAACTAGTCGAGTATCTCGTCAAATTATTACGTGAGTAAGCCGAAAACATAATAAATAATTGATCATTTATATAATAATAAAGAAATTCATCGTAGGTTGCATCATCCAACAGCCAATCCATTAGTAAGAAAAAATAAAAAATATGCAATCAATTTTTGAATCAACAACAACCTTTCAGCGGTGCGTTTAGTGATATCAGTTGCTAATGAAGATTAACATACTGTTTTATCTATATCTTTCGTTATCAATCTTTGTTTGTAAATTGTAATGTTAATCACGAGGAAAAATCCATCAACCAAAAATTAAATTATGATCGCAGTCAGGAAATAAAAAAAGAATACAAAAGAAAAGATTAAGAAAAGTTCCCATATTTAATTACACATATAGTAAACTATTGCTTGTGTTAAACAAAAACGGTATTTCTAATATTTTCGGGAACTAAAGTTCCACCTTACGCCGATAATAATATTTTATTAAGATTTCTACGAGTAAGTCACTTATAAGCTATATTAAAGCACATTACTCCCAAATTTCTTGTAAGATATTTCTTGTAAAATTATAAGAACAAACAGATAATTTGAGTTCTATGCCAATCACTGCGATGCTCAAGGGGAAACTTCTTCAATTGTAACTTCAACCAATTTTATTGGTTCATTGTTTTTAGCAACCCAAGCTTCTGATGTATTTGCTAATTTGAAAATCTGCACAGCAGCCTCGCCAACTGTCTCAGGTTTTTGCATCACAACTTCTTCCTTCATTACTTTTTGGAAACCTTCTTTGTGCCAATCCCATGTCTCACCAGTAAGTATAACAGTGTCAGTAAAACCTGGACAGAGTGCAATTACTCTTACACCAGTTCGCTTATAATTGATTGGGTGGCCTAGCGATCTCGTGAAACTCAGCACTGCACTTTTTGATGTTTTGTAGAATACAGCATATGGATTAAATTCGTATCCATAAATAGACGCAATATTATACACCGTTCCACCACGACCACCATTATCAGTCCTCCAGTGCTCCCAAAATTTCATGCTCCAGTCAACTAATGCCATAAGGTTTATTTCAAGCGTCCTTCTTGCACTACTCTCGTCTAATATTCCAGCATTGTTTACAAGAACGTCGACTTGATATTTCTGGAATATTTCACTGGAAACTTTGTCCAAATCTTTTGTGACGTCACATTTTATAAATACGGATTTACCTTCACCGTACTTGGCATTCAGTTTATGCACAGCATCAGCTCCAAGACTTTCGTTAAGGTCTAATAAAATCACAGTTTTACTTTCGTGCTTCAAAAACTGGTCAGCTATCTCGTATCCTATACCTCCGGCTCCACCTGTCACTACAACTACTTTGTTTTTAGGGTCCCGCTCCATGTCGTTTGTGAGTGCACTGTTCAGCTGTATTAACAATATGACAATACCAGTGTATCGACATCCGTTAATACATTTATTGCCGTCTTATCACATTCAATTAAAGTTGATAAAGTTTTCGACCGTGTCACTTTATCGGTTTTTTTATTATTTTCAGTTTCACGTTACCTTCTCAGGAATTGCATGGAGCCTAAAATTGCACATGATGTGTGGTATCAAAGAAAGAAAGAAAGAAAAGACATTTATTCAGCACCAGGCACGATGCAGCATAAAAAGACAATAAAAGTGTGACAGTAGAAGTAAGACAAACATGAGTTAAAGATTAAAACAGATGAAACAGAAAATAGACGCTACAACATGCCCATGCTAAATGGGTTACTCACTCAGTGTAAGCTAGGCATACAAGTCGCCTAGCACTGATTTTCAGTGGGCACCCCTCCAGTGACGCACGGATGGTAGCAACGTTTTATGGCTAGACAAAGACAAATAAAAATATAAGTATATAATATGTATGTACAATAAGTATATAGATACAAAAATCTAATAAATAATAATTGAATAAAATGTAAAAAGTAATATTAAATAAAATAATAAGAAAAATATAAATAAATAAATACACATGACTGCAGCACATGAGTGCAGGACATTGGGAAAGGACAGTCCGTTTAACTGTGTTTTGCATTGTTTTGTTAATACTCACATTAAATTAGCTTGAGTTAAATAATAGACAAATCACTATCAATTGCAGCCTTATCTGTTTGCGAAGTTAAAATAAAACCCTTGAGATTATGTCCAAAGCTTTTAATACTTGGCGAGTTTCTGATAGAAGGTGGTATATTATTCCAATATTTGGACGCTGCGTACCGAAAACTGCCTCGAAACGCTGCTGTTTTATGTTGAGGTATTGCTAGATGCTGTGCACACTGCCTACCTTCCCGCCTTCGATGAGCACCAACCCAGGACAATTTTGAGTACAAGTACAAAGGGCACTATGTATGGGGCTCATAATATAACTTCAAAGGTGCACAGGAATATGTGGCATTATGAACACTTACTATAAATAAATTTTCTAATAAAACTTTTTTGTTCAAATAAAATAGAAATACTACGCAAAACAACGCAAACCAATGCGATCGTCTAAAAAGTAACTTATTCATTAGCGCTTTCGTGACCACAACTCACATGTATGTTAAGTTTCTGATGTCGAGACATGTAAATTGGTCAAGTTAGTACGGTTTACGAATCACCTATTTAAAAGGAAAACAAATAACATGTAATTCGGATTTGCTGTGATTGATTTAGTTAGCTCAAATATCGTTGGCCTCGCAAGGTGGTGTGTTTAGTAGCCATGCAAAACATTATTTGAACGGCCTAGCAGAAAACCGACGTGAAACAACTACAGCGTTGTGTTTCGCCCCGTGGTCTCCAAATTTCAAACCCCCAAAAGGTCGGCAATGCACTGGTAACTCCACCGTTGCTGCGGGTATATATGGGCGGCGTCGATTGCTTCCCATTAGCTGCTTACCATTGTCTGCCCGTTTGCAGCCCTATTACACAAAGAAAAAAACTACTGCTATTCATATTAAACGAATAAAAGTAACAGAAGTGTCTTACAATAATTAATTTAACTCTTAATTTTACAGTTATTATAAAAATGTATTCACTGTAAACACAATAAAAATGTAGTGTAGCTTTATTGCGAGAAGTTTGGTTGATCAACCAAATATTCAGGTTTTTTTATGGAAAAATCCTACTTTTATATCCTACTTTTCCTATTTTTACACTACATTTATAAGTTTCACTTCTTGATTCCTGATAAAGTAGACCGAGGTGCACAAATAAAATTTAGGTATTTCAATTTTATTACATTTGCATTGTATTGATAGGTTCCGGCCAGAAATATTTGATATATTTATATAACCACTATAATAAAAGGAAAAGGGTTGCTATAACAAAATGAATAAGAAAAACCTTTTAAACAAAATAACAACATTTAATAGTAATTACCAGAATGTGGTGGTGCACAACAACTTCATAATGTCAAATTACTTAGCGACTTCAACAATAGGTTTAGCTCCCTCAATGAGCCATGCTGTTCCACTTTCACCTTTTTCGAAGATATCCACCGCAGCGTTACCCACGGACTCCACTTTCTGCCAAGCTTGAGCTTTGAGGAACTGTTCGAATTCTTTGTCTTGTCCCATGTCCCAGGCCTGTGGTTGCGCAGTCAATTTTGTCTCAGTAAATCCAGGGCACATTGCTACTACTCGTACTCCGGTTCTTTCGTAGTTGGCCTTGTGGCCCAAAGACTTTGTGAATCCCATCACAGCAAACAGGTAAAAATTGGTCGACTCTGTAGCCGTAGATTGAGGCAAGGTTAAGGATTGTACCTCCGTTCCCACCCCTGTCCTTCCTCATGTGGTCCCAGAAGGTCAGACCCCATTCAATAACTGCAGTAACATTGATGTCGATGGTCTTCTTCAGCAAGCGGTCGTTGAGAATTCCAGCGTTGTTGATGAGGACATCGACCTTGTAATTTTCGAAAATCTTTTTCGATACAGGTACTAGGTCTGTGGTGACGTCGCATTTCATGAATATAGCCTTGTTGGCTCCATATTTGGCGGATAATTTTTTGACGGATTCATTGCCAAATTTTTCGTTGATGTCAAGAAGGAAAACTAGTTTGGCGCCTTTTGATAGATATTTGTCGGCGACCTCGTAGCCGATACCTTCGGCTCCACCGGTGATGACCACAACTTTGTTTGCTAGGCTCTTCTCCATAGTGTGAGGTCTTCGGGCGCACTTGTAAAACTAGCAGTTTTCGGAACTGACCGTGCTTTATATTGAGCAGAGCGAGTGCAACCATTGAATAAACAAGTCGTTATATCTGTCATTTGAATCACGCAGTCATTGATAGATAGATATAATGTTATTGTTGAGTGTAACAGAGCTTGTATGACATTTGATCTGTTTCGTTAGTTAAATGTATAAACATACATTAAAGATAGTGTTGATCTTACTCTCGTCAACATTTACTATTGATTGGTAATTCCCCTTAAATGTATAAGAGAGATAATTGATTCCTTTTTTTTAATTATTTTCGAGGTGCTAGTGGAGGGCTGTAGTCATGTATTGGTCTCATTATTAGTGCGTAGAAAGAATTGTATATTCTACTGCATTATAATTTTTTTATTTATTCTGTGAAAGTGTTTTGTAGCATGTTTATACTGTTAAACATGGTTCAATATAATCATTATAGATCATAGTTCAAGAATACAATTTAAAAATGTGTGCCCAATCTCAAATTTTCGCAAACTTTTACTTTACATTAGTATGACCAAGTTGATCTCATGATTACTTTGCTGAGATGTTGCACTCGAAATAAACCTCGAATAGTAAGGAACGAATATACCTACATGTTATGTAAGCATTTAGTGTTTACATAGGCATACGATAACTGACGCTTATTGTTTGAAGTCACATATTATCTTCGTCTGAGAGATGTGTGCAAATTATACTAACGAGCAAATATCAGTAATCCATTTTGTTTGGAATATGGTAGGTAATCTTTGGTACAGAAACCAATTTTTCGCTTTAAATTAAGCGTTTTAAATATCGTGTGTTGAATGTGCAGGCTTGATCAATGTGGTAAATAACATACAGAGTATTTTTTTAACTCTATCGTATTTATTAATTGGGACATATTCAGTTATTAAACATGTTGCCCTGAGTAAACGACAGTAAAATAAAATATACTTGATTCTGGTGCTCAAATAAAACAACTTTTTCCATAAGACCAATATGAAAAATCTCAAAAAAATTACTTGTCCATGCAAAATGATCAATCAGCTGTTGTGGTGTGTATGGAGAAAAAGGTTTGTTTTTGAGATTTCGATATTAGTCCCATGGAAAAAGTTGTTGTAGTTTGGCACCAAAATCAGCTCCTTGAATATATTCCTCAATCAAAATGCCACCCTGTATACATACAAACTTGTGGTACCTACACTATCTTATTACATTTTGTCAGTTGAGCGTTATTATCAGCCTAAGGCCTACGCCTAAGCCTAAGCCTACTGGTGAAGAAGTCTTCTCAAAGGGAGAAGGTTTTAATATTAAGAACTACACTTGCTCAAGGCGGATTGGCGTTTGCAAACGCATAAAATTATAATTATAAGGTCTTACTATAAGACCAGGTTTCTTAGCGATATTTTCTCAGTTATTCGCTATTATTTAAAACAATTGAAGAAGTTGTTTGTACGTTTGCAAATAGTTTGCACTTCTATTGATTTAACGACCATGATCACTCTGCCAAGAGTTATACAGTGAGGAACATCACTGAAAACTATTTTTGGAATATATTGTTTAGTTTGAGTAACGTCTGCATGTGAAATGTTAGATTATGATTGAACTAGCACATAATGCAATGTTTGGGTACACAGGTTTATTACTATGTGTATTATCTATCCAATACCAAAATAATTTATCAATTGGAACCTGTAGAGACTAGCTCGTTTCAATAAAGAAATAAACAAACTCTTCATCACCCACATAATCATTATAATCAACCTATAAGTACCCACTGCTGAGCAAAGGCCGCTTCTCATACGGAGAAGTTTTGAACATAACCTAATTACCACGCATGCTCCAGTCGGATTGGCAATTACAAACGATGTTTCCTTCACTGTAGGCCAGTGGTGTTAAACTTAGGAAATATATAGAACTACGAAAAAGTGACGTTGGTATTAAACATTGTTTCATTGTTTTCAGCTTTTTTATTTTAAGAAAAACGTTACCTCACACTAGAGTTGTGTCTTGTGTCGTGGGTGCAAACACAAACATACAATTTCACATACAACATCACACCTAGATCCGTAACAACAAATTGTGGATCACTCAAAGAGTTGTTCCATGCGGGAATGGAACCCGCGACACGTTACGCCGCATCTAGTTGCCCACCCACTACGCAAACCGTGCACACTTTGAAATATGAGTATACCAGTATGTAGATATAAAAATAATATATTAATCAGAAAGCTCTTATGAATTCCTAATACTAATTTTATATAAGAAGTTATCTTTATGTACGGCGCTAAAATTATAATTATTTATGTTAAAATTTAATCAAAATAAGATAAATTATAGCGTCATGAGATTGCCTTGATAGTTGTTGATTTGTGGACAATGTAGAATTGAATTGGTTATTTTTTTGTTAATTAGTTTCCAAGAACAATAGCTATGGCAATATTATGGACTCATATTCAATGAAACTCTTAATATGATTGGAAATAGTTTTGAAAGGTATATATGTTGAGTGCTAAGGGGGAAGCCTTTGTCCAACAGTGGACGTCTTCCGGCTGATGATGATGATGATGATATGTGAAGTAAAACTGACATCGAGTAAAATAACTGCAAAAAGAGCAAGTTTTGGTTCGTAGTTACTTAATAACGAGTGTAGTGAATAATATAAAAATTATCTTTACGATAAGGATCAGCGTTTGTCATTTCATTTTAATGTTAATCACATTCACACAAAATTTGCTCTAAAGATTTTGAATAGGTTTTGTATCTTCAGGGTTCCATACACCGAAAGTGCTGAAACGAAAAACGGCACCATTTTGCTAACCTCTTGCATTCCTGTATATCGCCTGGCGCTATTTGCCTGCGGTGATGATAGTTTTCATGGTGATGATAACAAGACAGCATTATTATCATTATAGAAACTACAAAGGCAGATAAAGTTATTTTTTTATTATTGATTACTAATGGTAAGCAATCGGTGGCGCCGCCCATGGACACTCGTACTACCGAAGGTTACACAAAGTGTGTTGCCAGACTTAGAAGGGTTATTAGGTTATTGAAAAATGATTGAGGATTGATGAATGATGGCTTTCCGACACTTATATCCCAAAGTTTATAGAACAAAAGTGACTATTTTGTATTTATTTTTTAGAGACAATTATGCAGAACTTTTTGTTTTGAGAGAGCCTGGGAGACGGGCAAAGTCATTTAAGCAATTTTCCCTCCCTGGGTTGGGCGAGAGGGAGTGTAAGATTCTTACTGATTAGAAACCACTGCATTCCTGCCTGCTTCTAGGCGTTTGTACACTTGACCCATAACCTTGCCTGTGACTCGCACTTGGTCGGACTTCATATTGTTTAATTGCGTCCTTGACTTTCAGAGATGTCTTTGTTGTTCTTATCTATACTGTTACACATACTTTTACAGGCCAACACCGGTTTGTTGTAAATGTACTTAACAAAATTAAGATAAAGATATTTTATTTTCATCTACACTAGCCAAAATATGTTTTTATCTAAATTTAGTTTTAGCATCACCTCAAAGCAAGTATTATTATAAGTCTCTTTTCTGTTGCACTTAGTTTTTTGTATTAAAGAAAGTCACGCATTGTTACAGATGGGCCAGCGGCAAAGATAGCATAGCCTCACAGAAAACCGGCATGAAACAATTCTTTTATTATATTTCACCCAATTACCAGCTGGTAACTCACTTACAAATCCTTTCGTATTGTTCATAGAGAGACTGATAAGTACTTGCCATAAGGTGAAACGATTGCTTGTTTATCTCTTACCCTATAAAAGTGTTCGAAATGAATTTTCCAAGAAGCGAAATCGTGGGCTATACCTAGTCTAGAAATTGCCTTGACTTTGACCGATAAAACGCAGTGAGTGGAATTATTTTCTGCATGATATGTTTTGTATTATGTATGTATACATAAGTTTATATTGATAGCGAATGCCTGGCCTTGTGTTTAATACTATATTATTTGCACAGTACCTGTCATGACTCACGTGATACTAATGAGGCTTTGTTGCTTTAGCCAAAATTTCGTAGAATCATAAAGTACGCCTACTTTATGATTCTACGAAATTTTGGCTAATCTATCGCCATAGAATACGCCTTTCCATGAGCAGCCTATTCCATCTAACCTAGAAGACACACCTTTCGGGGAATACAGACTCTGGCAAATAGTTCTATCTATAGGACAATGAAATAGTAAGTAATTGAGTAGTTATATCAGTAGGTATGCACAAATTGATAATTTTGAAGTAAGTGTAAATAATTACTCTTATTTTTATTTCGATAAATCAGTACAATAAAGGTCAAACTGAAAAAACAATAACACACATACCCACACACGTAATTAGCAACAATATAATCAGTAATTCAAACTTCACACGTCCCGAAATACAAAGACCGAGAAATTACCGATAGGATTACACATATAATATCCATATAGATAGCGCAGTGTTTGGCTATTGCATAATATCTCCGGCGTGTTCGATATTTTATTGCCTATACGAGAGGCGTGTATCAACACTTACAAAACAGTATCAGCGTACTTCTTCAATAGGCTGGCCACCTTCAATCAGCCACATTGTTCCACTTTCAGCCTGACCATACACTTCCACTGCAGCCTTACCTACATCCTCAGCAGCCTGCCAAGGAAGAGAGTTTGCAAATTTTACAAAATCTCCCGGTAACTGCTTCTGCAGTTCCGGATCTCTTAATTTCTTGGTTAGTGCAGTTTCTGTTAACCCTGGACACAAACCCAAAACACTAACTCCAGTTTTCTGGAAGTTTTCAAGGTGACCCAAAGACTTCGTGAATCCGAACACTGCGTATTTGGCCGCTTGTTAGACTGGAGTATAGGGCACTGGTCGAAACCCAAATATTGAAGATATAGTAATGATCGTTCCACCGCTACCTCCATTATCCTTTCTCATGTGCTCATAGAACTTCATAGACCATTCTATTACGGATGTTATATAAACGTCTACCATTTTTCTATGATCCGGAGAATTGGGAATACCAGCACTCAAAACCAACACATCAATTGTTTTGTAAGTTTCAAGTGTTTTCGAAATTGTATCAAGTTCCGTAGTCGCGTCACACTTTATGAACACAGCTTTGTCTTTTCCATGTTTCTCTGTTAGTGTTCCTACAGCTTTGAGCCCCTGTATGCTATTTATGTCCAGCAGAATGGCAGTTTTTGCTCCGTGGAGTAGAAAGTGGTCAGCTATTGCACATCCTATGCCTTGAGCTCCTCCCACGACCGCCACCACCTTATTCTTAAGCGATCGTTCCATTATTATATGTGTAACAGAACTGCACAAACGCACAATGTAGAATATTATTTTGAAGACTGTTAAAACAAATATGAACGATAATGTCTTTTAACCTTATTATCAGTCTTCATATCATTTGTTTGATAATTATAAAATTGCATAGATAATGAACGCTTTATGCTTTACATTCAATAAAAACGTATCTACTCCCAAATATTTAATTAATGCTAATGGGCTAGTTAACGAAAGTCGCCGCTTTGAACTAGACAAAGGCCTCCCATTCGTTTTCCACGCTGAAATGCTACTCGCATTCATTGGCTCCCTATCACTCTGACGAGGTCGTCGGTCTACCTAGCAGGAGGTTCACCTAACAGAAAGCGTGGTACTATTATTATTTATTCTTAAAAATAAATCATTAAAATGCATATTTATTAGTTTTTTATCCTTGAAATCATGATTATATTTTGTAAAGGTGTCAAAAGACTTTCGTAAAAAAGATGAGCTTACTGTTCACGTCATGAAATGGTAGACTGATTATTAATTATTTTTAATAATTGCACTGATTTAATTAATTTTGAACAAGAAATAGAGTTAGATAGTGAAGTCACATCTTTATGTAGCATAACATAATAGTGACTAAAGTCATTGTAGGTATTAATAAACTATAAACATTGTACTGACAATAGCCCTTAGATACACGGGATGGCTGTTAATATGAAATTGCAAATAATATATTTTTTTCCATGTTAACACAATCAAGGACGTGCCAATATTGACATAAGGAGTTTACTATATAAACGAAGCGATAGACAACATAAACGCCTTGTTATAGTTAACAAGCTCGTGGAGCATGAACTAATTTACATGTAAACCGCTTACAACGCATCGCACCGTCAGATGTCAGGCTTAGAGACGTTGCCTTAGCAGAGTAAAAACTGTATCGGTAGGCTTAAATGAGGCAATACTTCCACACCTGAATGTCTGGTGTGATGATAGCGGAACAAAGTCTTGGAAGCCATTCGCGATGGAATGAATAATATTGATACTATTTAACATTTTGCTATCAGATACTACTGTCCTAACTAGTGAAATATTGAACTTAGTAAATAATTATAAAATTTTTCACTATTATTTCCGAAGCCTTTAAAATTTTATTTTCTGGAACCCAATAAGGTACATAAAATTCATTCTATACGCCCAATGAATGAGAGATCATTATGTCTCAAGCGATACGCTGAAAAGTATAAAAAATAACAAGGTGCTCAGATAATGACAAGGACTCACTCGTTACTGTCGCTCTTAATTGCTACAGATAGATGTCGCTAGCTGGTTTACAGTTTACAAAATAATAAAGAAAACTATGAATCTTGTCTTAACACATTTCCGTATTTTAGAATATTAAAATCCCTAAAGTTACACACTCAATAGACTGTATAAATAAAATATAGCATTAAAAAAAGTTTCAAAGCATAAATTATTAGGTACGTCAAAATGTCAATAATGTCAAACAAAATCTTTAGTTTATTAACTCGTTTTGTAAAAAAATGTGAAATTTCCAGACGGCAGTAAAATTTATTGTATTAATTGCTAATAATGTGTTAGACAGTGAATACTACTATTTATCTAAATTTACACACAATCTTGGCGATATGGAGATAGATAGTAAGGTCTTCAACATTGATATTTGTCCTATAAGTACTTAAAATAACATTTATCAAACGCTTGCTCAGTTTTATGGCGCATGCAACAATGGAACGATCACTTCAGAATAAAGTGGTGGCAGTCGTGGGAGGCGCTCAAGGCATAGGATGCGCAATAGCTGACCACTTTCTACTCCACGGAGCAAAAACTGCCATCCTACTGGACATAAATAGCATACAGGGATTCAAAGCTATAGGAACACTAACAGACAAACATGGAAAAGACAAAGCTGTGTTCATAAAGTGTGACGCGACTACGGAACTTGACACAATTTCGAAAATATTTGAAACTTACAAAACGATCGACGTGCTAGTTTTGAGTGCCAGCACAGTAAATACGGATCACAGAAAAATGATGGACGTCTATGCAACATCTGTAATAGAATGGTCTATGAAGTTCTATGAGCACATGAGAAAGGATAATGGAGGTAGCGGTGGAACGATCATTACTATATCTTCAATATTTGGTTTTAGACCAGTGCCCTATTCTCCAGTCTATCAAGCAGCCAAATACGCAGTGTTCGGATTCACGAAGTCTTTGGGTCACCTTGAAAACTTCCAGAAAACTGGGGTTCGTGTTTTGGGTTTATGTCCAGGGTTTACAGAAACTGCACTCACTAAGAAGTTAAGAGATCCAGATATGCAGAAGGAATTATCGGAAGATTTAGTGAAATTCGCAAACTCTCTTCCTTGGCAGACTGTTGAGGATGTCGGTAAGGCTGCAGTGGAAATGTATGGTCGGGCTGACAGTGGAACTATGTGGCTAGTTGAAGGTGGTCATCCTATTGTAGAAGTAAGGTGATAACTTACTTTGTAAGTGACGATGATCAATAATCACAAACATGTAGGTGTAGACATTTAAGCAGTCATAAGGACGAAAATTGAAAAGTGTTTTTTGTAAAATATTGTTTACTTTCAGAAAGTTTTATAATATTATTATTAAAATTAAGAATAGTATGTACCATTTCACTGTGTTTTGAATATTTAAAAAAATATCTGGCTCTATGCACAGTAATTGTTTTCTTAAACTTATGGTCGTATAAACTAGTCGTGATACTTCGAGAAAAGGTTAAGTTCAAAAAGATAAAACCTAATTATCTTATTTAATAAGTCGCTTTGTTAAAAATGCAGTTTTAATATGAATACGACAGGAATACTACTGCAGCGATATATTATGTGTAACATATTATTATACTGGATATTAAGGCACATAAAAAGGTGATTAGTATCTCACAGTATCCTACGCCGAAAGTAACAAGATAATTTTGGCAATCTTAATTCTTGTTAATTTGACAATTGGATATAAAATAGGAGTCCACCTTTTTTATGGGAAATTCAACATCTCCCGCCCTGGGTGTTGCGAGTGAGAGATTTAGACTCTTACTGACTGAAAACCATCTTTCCTTCTCGTTTGATCTCCTGCTCTAAGCCGGGATACATTATATTGCTTGCAACCCCCGCTGAATGTATGTATAGATGGCAAAATAAAGTGTTTTCCTTTTTTCATAGTTGCATTTTACTTAAAAAAAATCACCGCCTAACCGTTACTGCATACCCCATGAATACGAACAGCGCAATATTTTACTAAAATAATAAATGATCAGCATTGTGATTAATGATCAACTAATGTTTGCGGAAACGATAAAACGAACACAATTTAGTGCTAATAATGTTTCGTTCAGCTAACGCGATGCGGGTCATTTGTTATAGGGAAGTAATTCTTGATAAATATTTGCTAGTACATGTTCCTCGACTATACAAAACACCCCCAACTCGCATGTTTAACGAATACTACACATTTTTTTTGTGTTTGGCACTACCTGTTCTGATGATCAGAATCTAGCAATATGTCTAAAATGTATCTATGTATCCAACTATTTTGATCAGCCAAATACTGGGCGCATTTCCAGGTTTTAGTAATTACTGTTACACTCCGCAAGCTAAAAACTCATTAATGCATTTTCCGAAATTTGGTTTGAATCGGTTTGAATTCGAGACTGTTATATTTCTTTTTTTTTTTTGAGGTTGGAAAATAATGAAATGACTTCCCACAAAAGGCAGGGTGGGAAGGTGTATCATAATCAGGGTGCAGTTCCATTGAGGTTGAGCGGAACAGAGCGGAGAAGAGCTGTCATGCCGCGATTCACCAATCACATGGCTTAAAATCCACATCGGAGAAGAGATATGTTGATTTCAAGCCATGTGATTGGTGAATCGTGGCACAGCTCTTCTCCGCTCCGCCTGAATGGAACTGCATCCTCAGACGTCATCACGCCGTTGCAACTCCTGATTCATACTGAAGCTGAGGTATACAGCTAGCTGTGACCTCGAAAGAATTTGTTTATAAAGCATTTTAAATTTAGAAAATATCAGAAAATCCGGGATCTTGTTTTGTTCATAGTAAGTAGAAACTTCTTTATTGAAGTTAAATGCATAAATTATGATGTATAAACGTTGCCGATGAATACTCGTATATTATAATGTAATATTAGCTTAAATTTAATTTAAAATAAACGTCTATTAAATAAACTTTAATATAAATTAATTATGTAAAAGCTTACTGTAAAAAATATTATAAATTAAACTGTTTTTACTAACGCTACGTAAAAATAAACAGAAAAAGTTTGTCAATGCCCAATCGTAACATCCAGAATCGGGTTTCGTAGATCACATTTATTTGGAGCATAGATCTACGAAACCCGATTCAACGGTGTGATGAATTTACATATTATTATATTTTTTTGTGATCATTTGCTAAATATTCTTTGTAATATATTTTAAAGTAAGGTTCGATAAAATAAATAAGGCTGTTTTAAACCAGGTTACCTGAAAGTGCCCATGTCACTTATTTGCAGGTACTTTCCGACCTATTAGACACCAATGGTATACGATAAAGGTAAATAAGGCAAGAACACATGGGCTTTTAATTTTAATTTGTATGTTCGTACATCCACTTTGTGCCAGTATGGGGATGTGTGAGGAGAAGCCTTTCAAATACATACATATCAAAAACGATGCAGATGTATAAAATTACCTACATATTCAGATAATTAAAATTCAGAATACAATTTTTTCCAATAGCGTCCATTTCTAGAAGGGAAGTAGGAGACTAAATGAAAAATCAAGTCGAAAAAATGCAAAGCCGAATTTGTACGTACAAAACATAAGAAAGGAAAATATTGACTAGTATGACTGGGGAACTCTAAAATTGTCACTAACGAACTGTTCGATAAAACCACTTCATAGCAACACGACTTGCATCGAGCTTCGTATCGCAGCTAAATTAAAATCGAAAACATGAATAAATATTTTTGTAAAACATCTCGATGTATGTGCTTAAGAACGTGTGTACGGCGCGGGTTACCATACAAACTTGAAGGACAAAAATCATATTGTAAACTACTGAACCGATTTCAATGGAACTCGATTATCATCCTTTCTTAATAATATTATAAATGGGAAAGTAAGTTTGTTTGTTTGTTTGTTCTGCTTTCACACCGTAACTACTGAACCGATTGCTTTGAAATTTTGCAAAGGTAAAGTTAGAAGTCCGCATTAAATAATAGAGTACTTTTTATCCCGGAAAAATGTATATTCCTGATGAAAAATAAAAATATTGTTAGCTTCATTCGGCGATAGATGGTGCTGTCTGTCGTTTAAAATAAGGTAACATGTTGTAAACGAATATTTACATGTAAACTTCGAAGTAAAATCCTTACTAATATTATAATTAAACAATTGAATTAGGACGAAAAGCTATTATGCAATAAAACGAGGTCTAAAAAGTTTATTAAGAACATTTTTGAAAAATAATTTTGGTACGCAGAGCGAAGAATTTGTAAGGTTTCCATAAAAAGTTAAGATCGCGTATATGATTGATTGTATGTATATGTATTATGTGTGTGTGTGTTATGAACGTGATTGTGCAGTCTACATGTGTGTTTGTAAGTGCAACAATAACAAAGAGAATCCTGCTGAGGATAAGTTTAAAATAAAACAAGAATGTTATTTAAAACTCTTATTGTTTATCAAAAGCAATACACATTCTATATTTTTATTACAGTTTCGCAGTACATAGTTTAGTAGAAGTTCATTACACGAGGGGATTGTAACTCACTAGGCGAACAGAACATTAGACAACTTTCGGCGTAAATACTAACTTGTGGCGGATGTAGGATAACTAGGAGTAATGTTTACGTTTATAATGAAATTATACTATACTATACTAAGTTTTGTAGTGACGACACTATAAAATACATTAATTGTCACCAAACTTACTCATCCTGTAGATTTCAGTGTGGTAAATATCAGACCAGTACCGTCATCATCATCATCATCATCATCATCAGCCTCTTCTCACACGGAGAAGATTTGAGCATTAATTAATAATCACAATTGCTCATGGTAGATTGGTTATTTCAAAATTATAATTCAATAATAATTATAAGTTTTCTCATGATTTTTTCTTTCACCATATATCATTGGTGAAAGTACACAACACCTAAATATCACATTGATACTTGCCAGGTTACGAACCTGCACTTTCATTTAAGCGGGCGCCTTAACCTCTGGGCCACTAAGCCCAGTAAACAATTTGTTTCAACCGGAGTCGTACTATAACAGTGATGTAATTAAACTCAATAAATTAACCTCTCTCTCGCCCTGGGTTGGGAGTGTCAGACTCTCACCAACTAAAAATCACCCCGGTCCTTCTCCTAATCCTGGCTAGGGCTGTGCGTTGCGTTCGCATCCAAAACCCAGTGGGACTACCATGACGTGTTAAAGCGTGTGTCTTTCGGGCGAGAAAGAGGGATGGAGCTGTACATCTTTTATATAGTTCCATCCTTCTTTCTCGCCCGAAAGATTGGTATGCCATGGTAGGCCCTCTGGTCTAGAAACTTGATGACTGGTCTAATGAAATACTTTTTCGTCATTTTTTTATAGACAGATATCATTCTTACTTTTAGAATATTGGCTATCATAAAATGTAATTATTGGTAAACTATTACATTGAACGAATTATTGTGGACTAAGGGGTGATTTTTCAATAAACGTATAAATTTTATTTAAAAATAAAATTGTTGCTGTCACTCTCTTATACAAACATTCTGACGCGACAGCATCATGATTATTCCATTATTCCCCAGGTAACTTTCATCTTATATCTAACCATTGACAAATCAGCCTTAAGTCAAATATTCAAATTACGAATACACAAACGAATTATTCTAACATTGATAATTTTAACTTTATCACGTCAGCTAAAAGCTTAAATAACAATAGCTGTGTTATTACTGATAGAGACAATTGGTCTTTGTTTTATAGACACGAGACAATGCAAGGTCACCGAATGCAATATTATGTATCCAAATAATCCTACTTCATACAATATCAGTAATCCTGTCATAATGTTTAATAGCATGAAGGTAACATTTCGTGAGCATTTTTGTAGATACATAGGTACATAATCATCATCACCAGCCTATACATCAGTGCCGACTGATGAGCAAAGATCTCTTCTAACATGGAGATTGCTCAAAGCAGGATGGCGATTTTATGTTAATCAGGCAATTTCTTTAACCGTAATCAGCAGACTCTAAGTAAACTCAGCAAACACATCTTTAACTTGGAATAAGGTGATAGGTAGTTGTCAGGTTTCGCACCCTCATAAGCAGAATATGAGAATTATGGGGGTCATTTACTACGAAAGGGAGCTCAATGTTTGCCTCGAGAAGATTATAATAATCTAAAAATAATTTTTAACAAAAAAAAAACTGACTTCAAAAGTAAACTAAAAAGCAAAAAATTAATTTACTTTGTTCAACGTAATACACACTTTCATTTAGTTAAATAGAAAATAATATTTAGTAACTATTTTATAATCTTAAAGTCGGTGCCAAGTAAAACTATAACAGTGTAAAGATATTACTTACATACCTCTTGCTAATTTGATGATTAGTAGGTACCGATCAATATATTTTTCTAATACTTACTGTTGTTGTTTGGTATGTAGCATTTACTTGGCACCGACTTATAGAATAGTTACTAAATATTATTTTCTATTTAACTAAATGAAAGTGTGTATTACGTTGAACAAAGTAAATTTATTTTTTACTTTTTAGTTCACTTTTGAAGTTGGTTTTTTTTTTGTTAAAAATTATTTTATTTCACCATTTTAAGTGATAGGCAGAGAAAGCTAGGATGCTTCTTAAAAGAGAAGACGACGGCTACTTGGGACCGAAAATCACAGTAATGGCAGTCCTGAGTTAGTCAGCTTTCAGTGCCGTAAATCGTTGAGGAATTCCCGCGAATGTCAATGACCTCCATTATCAGGTATACTGCAGACCTTCATTATACATAATCCATATAGGTGCAAAGTTCTCATCAATATAAAT